AATGACGTACACTGGCTTGGTATCTTCTAGGACAGCAATACCTTCATCTAGAAGATCTCCTGACGGACCCATTGAGGATGATTTTAGTTAACTCTTATTTGTTTTTATGGGTTTGTAAGACCTAAGGCCTCACTACCACTCTAAGGAGCTCAACAGCCACTGAGGGCTTCCAAAATGTAAGACTAAGGGCCTTACTACCACTGCAAGGAGCTCGATTCTACCACTCCGAAGAGCTCGACTTTACTGCTCTGAAGAGCTCGACTGCCACAAGATTCACCCAGGAAGGAACACACTGGACACGTTGGAAAGGGAACAGACCTTTACTAGTCTGGCCAGACGACACTCCCAGAGCCAAGAAGCTCAGAGAGGTGCCAGCTCAGGGGCGGAGGTCCTTTTTATAAGAGGATAGGCAGGGTGGGGGTCTACTCAAGATGCTTACAGAATGTCCCAAGGTTTTCAAAACATTCCTTCTGGGCAGACAAAGAGTGAAACAATCTTTATCTATTTACCCAGAACTACTAAATGTTCACCTGTTAATTTACGTATAATCACAGTTGAGACTACGATCTAGATTACAAAGTTATGCAGTTTTACATTCCTAAGCAAAGGTAGGGGTGCAACTACAAAGGGGAGTGGTACATAACGGCCTCTGGGGCCATTACTTATCCAACATGGACTCACTTTAGTTCAGTTAGGTCTTACAGGCTTAAGGAGTATACTCTAAAATAATAATAAAAGGCATAGTATGGCAATATGTAAATCTGCAACATAGTTGTTTATTGTCAACTATTATGTAGTATATACGATCCTCTGTGCCCCACTTCTATATAACTGGCAGTTCACTAAGTTTAATAATTGGCACCAGCAAAATCACGTGTGCAGTGTGTTGCACTAGGACATTACCCCAGCTGTGATGTCACTAGGCAATGGGAATTTTTCTGCTCAGTTATCTTACACAACTGCAGTTGTACAAGCACGCCACTGTTGACTGAGATATTGCTGTGGAGCACATGACTGAACCTTTATTTAAATGGAAAGTACAGTCAGAAAGAGGCAGGAGTGGAGGTGTGGAAACAACCTGTCAAACACTACCACAAGCAGCTGCTCAAGCCCAACGTGCACAGAAATAAGCCATGTTGATAGCAGTTACCTTTGATATGATGTGATAAAGATAGCATTTTTGAGGGGTAGGGTTTGAGACAGAATTGCATTATATAATTATAATTATATAATTCAGACTGGCCTTCAATAAACCTTGTGGCCCAGGCTGGCCTCACAAACAGGGTGATCCCCCAGCCTCAGACTCCTAAATGCTGGAATTATAGGTATGCACCACCACACCCAGCAAAGATAACCCTTTGCCTTAGTTTGTCTTGTGATGCTACAACAAATACCTGAAACTAGGTCAGTTTTAAATAAAAGAATTTTGTAGGGAACAGGCAAAGGGGACTATTACTAGAACTACAGTGAGTCTAATCTCCTGCGAGCCATGACAACACAAGGCAAATGAACTAATATATAGACAGAAACGAGATTTAGAGAAGAAACTGAGCTTTGGGCCTGATCAATGCTGCTCTGCACAACAAAGATAAAAGACCACTTGCCACAACTTTATTTGGTACATTGGGAGTAACAGATGACTCAGAGGGTGGTGGCAATAATCCTAAAACAATGAGGAATTTACGCAGATGAAAATCCTAGGACAGGAGGAATTTATGTGATCAGGGATTTGTCCATCCCCAGGATGTCTTCAGCTGGTACAGTCTTGCCCTGGAGCACCACTGCATCATGGGACCACTGAGGTCTTAGCTGTGACTGGAGGTGAAAACGGAGTTATGTCTCAACATGCCATAGCTGGCCTGTAGGCAGGAAAACTAGGCCTAATCATAATTTGAATTGTGAAATGATTTTTCCCCTAAATGATGTAGAACTGACGCTGACAGAGGTTATTTTTACTCAAGGATACAGAAGCTTGTAAGTCTAAGACTGAGCGACTACCTCTGGTTGACTTCTATAAGGGCCTCATGCTCTGCAAAGTCATGGCCAGGAAACAGTAGTGGAGGGCATGCATGTTCAGAAAGCTAGGAGATACATTGTTAAGCCTCCTCAGAATTATTTTCCAGAATAACAATTATCATAAAATCTACCAATTTCATTTTGTCCCTGTGGTTTTTGATCAAATATCTTCTTTCTTGGTACACTTTCTCACTTAGATGCAAGTGATTCTCTACTGTATCTTGTTTTGTTCTTCCTTTCCATCCTTTGAAAAAATTTTTAAAACTTTTTGCTTTTAAAAAATGAGTACATGTTTATACTACATAATGATTACATTTCTCATGGGGAGCTGGTACATGGACAGAATACATCATTCTTTTTTTCATCCCCTTTCCCCTCTTCTCTTTACCTCCTTTCATCTCTTGGTCCCCTTCCCTTCTGTAAAAGATCTAGCACCCTATTTTCTATTATATGTTTTTTATTGTACTCTTTATTTATAATTTGGGTTTCTCATAAAAGAAAAACTATACAATATGTAAGCTCATGTGCCTAATTCATTTCATTTAACATGCACCCAATTTGGTAATAAGAATATTATGTAGTTCTATAGGTATGTTAGAAAAAAATCACAATCACTTTACTTGAGATTCCTAGAAAACTCAAGGTTTTCCTTGGAATCTCTAGAAAGTTCAAGGCAAAAGTTTATGCCCCATATATTTTAATTTAGTACAATCTCAGACTATAATGAGGGAAAAATAAAATAAAAAGGGAAAGAGAGGGAACAAATATTGTAGTATGTATTACATAGCTGCTATCAGCTTTGTGATAGCAGCAGATTGCTTGGTACTGTGGAATGTCTTTAGAGATGTCATAAAGATCCACAGTTCATGTCTCCCCTTGACTAAATTTACTTCACTGAATATCAATGCCTCAATATTTGCAGATTTTGCTGTCCAAGCCATCCAAGATTTCCAAGCATCTTCTAGGCAAGCTGAGCCCAGGAATCCCTGCTACATCTGAGATGTACACCACAGCCTACTGTTCGTGGAGGTGCATGGTTGCTGACAGGGTCCTATGGTGTCAGGTACTTATCTGGCAATAGAGATGACTAAGGGGGTGAGACAAGAGGCTTCTTCCCAAGATGAGAGTCAAGGAACCACTGAATAGTTCCTGTGAGTGACAGAAGGAGCCAGGAGTTGAGTCACTGCATCCATCTTGGCCAACACTGTAGACAGAGTCACACAATGACCCAGTCCTTCGCCATGGAGCTCAGCCTTCCTACAGGATGATCAAAATCTCTCTAGGACCTATAAGAGTGCACTTGTTGTCAGGTGACTTATCTGGAGGGTTATCAATAGCATTGTTATAATTTGAATCGAAAATGTCTCCCTAAATTCTCACATGTGTGGAAGGTGACTGGATTGTGGAGACGCTATTGACTAGTAGATTCTCTCACTGATGAGTTCAGGAGTAGGATGTGCAGCTAGAAAGTGAGGCCTAGTTAGAAAAGGATCTAAATACCTCTCATACCATCTAAATTTGTAACCTGGAAAGAGATATTCCTATCCCCAGCTCTTGCCATCTCTCTGCTTCTGGCAACCAAAGGTTAAGCACCCTTTCCTCTACCATCCCCTCTGCTATCCAGTTTCTGCCTAGGAGTCAGGCCAAAGGCTGTAACTGTGAGCTAAAATAAAACCCTTTAAATTGTGGGTGTCAGATATTGTGTCCAGTGACAGGAAAGTGACTAAGACAAGTGTCAAAGAGATTGCTAATTTTAGGTACCACTTTACCTGGATGAAGAAATTCCCAGAAAGATTTAAAAAACATTATTTCTGGATGTGTCTGTGAGGCTGTTTCTGGAATAAATCAGCATTTGATCCTGTAGACTGAGTAAAGATCACTTTCTCCAGTGTGTTGGTCACTAGCCAACCCACTGTGGGTCTGAAGAAAACAAATACGCAGAGGAAGAGTGAATTTGCTCTCTTTACTTAAGCTGGGATGTCAGTCTTTTCCTGCCCTTGGACATGAGTGCTCCTAGGTCTAGGGCCTTTACACTTTGATCTGGACTTACAACATTTCTACCCAGGCACCCCTTAGTTCTCTGGCCTTCAGACTCACACTGGAATTTACACTGTTAGCTGCTGCCTACTTCTGAGTCCTTCAGACTTAAGCTGGAAATTACAACGTTGAAATCCCTAGCTCTCAGGTCTTCACACTTGGAATGGTACTACGCCAAAGCTGCTTCTTGAAAAGAAGATTGATATTGGGGGTAGAGAGGCAAACACTAATAACAGAAACAAAAGAAGGAACACTACTACAGATCTCACAGACCTTAAAAGGATAGTAAGGGAAGATTACACATAAGATCACGCTCACAAATTTGATGAACCAAAAGAAAAGACCTTGAAAAACACAATATGTTCTTGAAAGACATAATCAAAATTTATACACAAAATGGATAGAATTGGCTTATATCTATTCAGGTAGTTGAATAAAAAAATTACTTATCTTTCAAAACAGGAAATACCAACCAATCCCAGATGAACTAACTGGTGAGTTATTCCAAAAACTTAAGTGATAAGTAAGTCATACCAATTCTCTACAATCTCTTATAGAGAGAAAACTCCCTAACTCATTCTATGAGATCAGTGTTCCTATAGTAGCAAAACCAGAAAAAAATATAACAAGAAACCTACAGACTAGTATCTCTTAAAAACACAAAAGTAAAAATACTCAACCAAAATTAACATACTGTTAGATTTCTCTCACCTTAAAATGGCTCTAACTAGTGATGACACAAGTCCCCCATAGTGATGTCACAAGCTCCCCAATCCTTAGCCACTACATCACTCAATCCCACCTCAGTTTCTATAAGCCCCACCCCAGTCCTATAAAAGAAGCTCCCTGTTCTTCCATGTGGCTTTCTCTCCTTTGCTTGGAGACAGACCAGCAGATCCTCCCCATAATAAAGGCTTGTTATGGTCCTGTTCTGGTCTTGGTTTTCAGCTCTTTTTACCCAACATATCTGGTGTTGAAATCCAGGAGGAAGGTGGTCCATTAAGTGACAATTCCCCATGGACCAGGGTCAATTGGCCTTTCAACCACCTCTTCCAGACATCTGCTGAACCAGGACCTCCTCGGGGCTTTCTACCTTTGCCATTGCTGACAACTCACATCCAAACCAGTCACTGAGTGAGTAGGTAATTAGCTTCCCTTTACTCAGGTCCTCTGTCTTGTTCTCACTTTCTGTCTCTGGGGACTACTTGGAAATCCAAGTGCTTGGTCAAAAAGACCCTTTTGGGCCACTGGGCCAAGGACTGTGTCCCTGGGGTCACCCCCTTGGCCCAACTCCTCTCACTCTCCCCTTCTGGGGAATGGCTCAGGGAGTATCAAAAGAAACAAAGATGTTCCTCTCTTTTGCCCACCTCCTAGGGAGCTAACTCCTCCTCACCCACCCTAACAGGGGTGCCCAACAATCCAAACCCCCTCCCTCAATGCCTCTTGGCTGCCTACTGGCACAACTCCATCCCCTCGGACTGTTGGAACCTGACTTTAAACCAAAATGGCTCATTTTTTATTGCTACCAAGTTTGACCTCAGTACAAATTAGATAATCTCAATGACACAAAAATGGCACTTTCAATTTTAACATACTGCACGATTTATGTAATTTTTATCAATTCAGTGGACAATGGTCAGAAATCCCCTACACATGAGGCTTCTTTCTCATACCTCCCTCTGTCAAAGCTGTTCATCCTCTCAGGTACTTCTAGCCCAAACTCTGTCCTCCATTCCTCCTTCAATCTGGCTGATTGCTCGCCACTCACACTTACCCCACCCTATAACCCAGCCAGCTCTTCCATCTCCTCTCACACTCACCTCCTCCATCTTGTGACCCTTCCTCATCTCTGCCATCTTGTGTTTCTCCACTACACACCCGCGCTCTCCCTCCCAAACAGGAGACTGAGTTAACAACAACTTCTCTGCCTGCTCTTCCTTTCCCAGCTTCCTTAGAAGAGACAGGAAATCAAGAGTCTGAAAAAAAAAAAAAAAGATAAAATCCTTTCCTGGCCTTGCCTATCAACCTGGCTGGTAGGCTACTTTACCAAGAAATTCCATTGAGCCCTATTGTTTTCTACATAAATATTGGGAAATAAAATACAAGGTTTTAAAACAATTCAAAGAAAATGTGATGCTTAAGATTTGAGCTCAAAAACCAAATGCTAGGTTACACCCCAGTGCCAGCTACAGATTGCTTGCTCCATAGTAAAATCAGTTGCAATGTCCTTCCAGGCAGGAAAATCTTAAAAACAAACAAACAAAAACCAAATTACAAATTCTCACTAAATGACAAATGTACCTTTCATCTTCAACTCAAAATAATGTTTGAATGGTTTTTGGTTTCCAGATGTTTAATCGATTTATTTGAAACATTTCTTTTACATTGCAAATTCTTAAATTGTAATTATAGGATTAACTTGACCGCTCTACTTTCTGCTTACAGAGTTCTGACAATAACTATAACACAAGATTATGGTACTGTTATAAAGCACCACTCCTTCTGATTCTAATTGCAAGAGATCTGTTCATTGATCTGCAAAAGTTTTGACTAGTTTTAATTAAAAGAGATATTATAATTCAATTGGCCAAATATATTTGAGTGTATTCTAGTTTCATAAATTGTCTTATATGTTTGTCTGTCTGTTCAATTGTTTCAAAGTGTTTGTCCAATTATATTTTTTTATCAAAATGACATCAAAGATACAAATAAATTGTTAATTTGTACAATCTGGTTTTACAGGTTAAATAGAAAATTGTCAATATAATTAAATGTAAACTTTTAGGTTTGGATAGACTCCTGTTGCTGAATAAAGAAGCAGTTGCTCAGAAAATTTTATTCTGATCTTTGTTCACTAATGGGAGCCCCAATAATTTTCACAGCCTTATGGGAAGATATACCCCCAATAAACATTGCTAAATATGTTTTTATAAAATGTCTACATTGGTTATCGTCAAAGGATTGAGTTCTAAATATACTATTATAATATGTTTATAATAGTCATCTTCAAAATATAATATATTCTATGGAAAAACAAGGAGTTACTAAAAAGATCCTTTTGGTACCAGGGTAAACTACAGGACATAAAGTTGCATAGAATTATAATAATTATTGTTACTACTTTTTTAGTGTACAAAATATATTCATGTTTTCTGACTATACAGGTCTTCCATATTGGTTATGACAATAACTTTTTGACCTAAGTGTTTGTCCTTCTCTTCTGCTCCACCTACTCATGATTACAGGTACATTTGTAGACCTATACACTTTCCTTACATGGCATCCTATCAAAAGGTAATAACTTAAGAGTTTCTGGTTTTTTGTTCTTATGTGTTTTTAGAGGTGAATAAATACATTTAACAATGGCTATTTTATACTCAGATACATATCTAAGTTTGTTGCAAAGATAATGTCATCATGACTGTCATGCTAAAATATTATTATTATTATTATTATTATTATTATTATTATTATTATTATGTGTGCCTCCTGATTCAAAGATTTTTTTCTGTTAATATTCTACAGGAAATCAACTACTAGAACAACCATGATTGATAAAAATAACAGTCCTCTAACTATATTTTAGATTCCAGGGTGCTTGCTATCCAGATAAAGCTATGATAGTTAAGCTCACTGCTCCTACTGTACTAATGATGTCACTGATCTTCTCTTCTAGGTGTTCAACCACCAAAGTGCAGAGACCAACACTAAAAGGTAACTGGGCTAAGACCACCAATATGTTGGCCCTGGCTCTCCAAGGTCATCAAAAATCCAAGGTATGAAAGGACCTTTTCTATAATGCCTTACATCTTTGGTAAATCACCCAACCTCCTGAACAGGGAGATTGCTGGGCACAAGAGAAAAAAAGAAATGTGTGCCAAAAGAGGGTCACCAAGAGAAAAAAATCTCTCATGCTTTCACTGCAATCAACTTGGTAAACCATTCTAATGGCTAACACTGACTGGAGCTGAGAGACTCTATGCATGGTTCCAAACTAATGCCTAAAGAGACTTAACTGACCTTGACAGATAGCAAGGTGTTAGTATTGACTAACACAGGTAACACTTTAACTTGGTCTTAAACATCCAGCAGAACAGAATAACCAAAAGAGATAGTCATTGAACAGGCATTAGTGATAGACTTTTGAGGCCCACCACTCTACCTCCCTAGAAATGGATAGATCTCCAAGTGGTAAACCAGATAACACAGTCTCAAAAAAGGCTACAACACCTATTTAATGCCACACTCCACTATCTCCCTGTCAATATCTCAGATTGTTGGATGTGTATGTCCATTTACCCCTGCTTGTTCACTCCAATTCCTGTCCCCCTAGATTTTAAACTGTCTGTCTCAAATACTGGCAATTTATCCACAGTTCTGGGACCCTTCACTATGGGTCTCCCATTCCCTACACAAACTACTAACCTAATATGCACAGGGCAAAATAACAATATCACTTGTCTTGCTTGCTCCCTCTTTATCTCAGAAGAGCATCAGATCTGCCTTTCCAATGGCCTGTACTTCATATGTAATTAAGAGGCATTCCAATGCCTCAATCAGTCTGACATTTTCTGTTGTATATCCTTCCTTAGCCCTCCCATGACCATTTACACAGAAGCCCAGATGTCTAAACAAGTTCTCCCACAGAACACAATCAGAAAAAGGGCAACTCCTCTTCTAGCCCCCTTCTTATTGGGAGCAGGGATCCTCACTAGGATTGCAAAGGGGATATTAGGCATTTCTACATCCACACATTTCTATCAGGCCCTATCCATAGAGATTTCAGAAGACGTGGGTAAAATAAGCCAGTCCTTAAATACAGTACAAGATCAAATAAATTCTCTAGCAGCAGTCGTGTTACAAAATAGAAGGGCCCTTGACATACTGACGGCAGCCCAAGGGGGAACATGCCCTTGTTGGGCCCATTGGCTTGTATATGTCTTTTAATCATGATAGGGCCCTTTCTATTTCACTGTTTTCAAAAATTTCTTGCAGGAATGTATGAGGGCATTTACCAAAAACGTAGTCACAGAACTTGTCATGGAAGGGTACTGGCCACCGTGGCGAGGAAAGAAGCCCCCACCTTCCACTGTCCCCACCAGATCTAGGTTTAGCCCCAATCTTTGCCCCTTTGTCAGCTTGAAGCAACTCCAGAGGAGACCTTCGCCCAACAACCATAAAACAAATGCCTGGAATATTAGATTTCCCTCACCTTAAGATGGCTCTAACTAGTGATGACACAAGCCCCTCCTAGTGAGGTCACAGCTCCTCCATTCCTTAGCCACCATATCACTTGATCCCACTCCAAGTTCTATAAGCCCCACCCCAGTCCTACAAAAGAAGCTCCCTGTTCTGCCATGTTGCTCTCTCTCCTAAATTCAGAGACAGCCCAGCAGATCCTCCCCATTATAAAGGCTTGTTCTGGTACTGGTCTGGTTTTGGGTTTTGGCTCTTTATACCTAACACATGTTGAATCCAAAAATGTATAAACAGAATTGACCAGGTATGGTCTTGACCAAATGTGGTTCACCCACGTATGCAAAGCTGGCTCAACACTCAAAGATCAACTCATGCAATCATGGTAAATTTAGAAATATATTTAGTCTTTATCTCCATTACTGGCACAGAGTCATTAAAAACTTTGGTAGTTTCTGACTAACAGGGATGTCTTTTTAAATTTATGCTGAAGTAGGTTAGGGTGGGACTTCCAGACAGTTCCAGGAAGAGGTGAGTCTCCATGAAAACCAGGTGATCAGAGTTGTTAGAACTCCTAGAAGATTAAAGAGAAGGAAAGCTAAATCACCTTGCATTTGGTGACAACTTTCTAGATATGGCATGAAAAGCATGACCCATGAGTATAAAATTGATAAACTAAACTTAATTAAAATTAAAAATTCCTGATCTGCAAAAGACACTCATAAGAATGAAAAGACAAGTCACATATTGGGAGAAAATTTTGGGAGACTTTCTCCAAACTGGGAGAAAAGACAAACCTGATAACTGGTTTCCAAGACACACAGAGGACTCTCATCTCCACAATAAGAAAACAATCTGATCGAAAAATGGGAGTTTAATAGTCCTCTCAACCCAAGGAGATATACAAATAGCAAATAAGCATATGCAAAGATGTCCTACGTCAATAGCATCAGAGACACTCAAATTAAAACAAGGAGATACCATTGCATACCCATCACAATGTCTCAAACCAACACTGCAATACCAAATGCTGATGAGGATGAAGGGCAATAGGGACCCTCACTGGCAGCTGACAAGAATGTAAATGATACAGACCCGTGGAAGACAGTCTGGAAGACAGCACCTTACAAAGCCAACCATACTCTTGTCATATGATCTTGCAGTTGTGCTCCTCAGTGTTTACCCAAAGGAGATGGAAACTATTTCTTCCCCAAAAGGGACTGCACATGAATATGAATAGCAAGTTCATTCAGAACTGCCAAGCCTTGGAAGTAGCTAAGATGTGCTTTGATAGTAAGTGGCTAAATAGTCATATATACAGTCTATAGAACATTATTTAGTGCTAAAAAGAACTATTAAATAATGAAAAGATATAAAGAGAATTTGAATGTATATAACTATGTTAAAGCAGCCAGTATGAAAAATATAAAAGCACAGCACAGTCCTCCCTTACATATGGTTTTCCTTCCCTTGGTTTCATTTACCCATGGTACAAAATTATTAAATAGAAAGTCCAAGAAATAAGCAATTTATAAATTTTAAGTTGTGCACCTTTCTGAGAAGTGTGGTGAAATCTTCTGCTATCCCGTTTTACCTTGCCCAAGGTGCACAGTATTCCTTTGCTTGATATAACCGCACTGCAGGTACTATCCAACTGTTAGTCACTCAGTATCTATCTCAATTATGAAGATCTTGCATTCTTTTAGGACATCAAGGCAGCCACAACTGGGCAACTAAAGACACTCATGAAAGAGGGCTTTCAGAACTGCTTCAGAAAGTGGCAACAATGATGGGATCAGTGTGTTCCAAGCATGGGGGGAGAATTGTGAGGGGATTAATAGCAATGTGTCTTTTACTGTAACAAGTTGTTTTTTTTTTAATTAAACATTTGTCTTCATTTTCAGTTATATCATGTATGTATGTTTTGGTACTATCCATGGTTTCAGGCACTCACTGAGGGCTTGGAACATCTCCAGAGATGAGGCAGGACCGTTGTTCACCAGATATGCCATCAATTTCATCTACCCAGTGGAGTTTCTCACAGAGCCTTGTGTCAGTCACTCACCAGTATGTAGGAGTGACCCTCTAAGGTAGGATTTCATGCTAGGATCTCCCCTCAGCAGCACCATGACTATGTCCCTTACTCTTGTGTTATATATGATTCTCTGGCTTGCCATGTCTTCCTCTTTTTTGTTTTGTTCTCTCATTTTTGACAGAACTTGCCTCAAGAGCTTCCTGACAGATGGGGATAAGCAAAATATATTTTTTCAAAATTACCTGTGAAAGGTATTTATTCTACTCTGAAACTTGAGTGAAATTTGACTTGGTATAGGATGTGACTTTCAAAGTCATTTTTCTTCAGAATTTTGTGAATGTGTCTCAAATGACCTTGAACTTTCTCTAGCACAGTAAGAAGTATGGAATAATTTCAATTTTTGATTCTTTAGTATGCTCTCTTTTCTCCCTTGAACACTGTCTCCAATTTTATATTGATATGTCTTGGTATGAATCTATTCCATCTGTGTTCTGGACATTGTGTGAGTTTTTTTCTTACTTTCCTGTGGATAGTTAAAGTTTTCACTTACATAAAAAATCTGGGCAAGAAATACAAGAATAAAACACTATTAACAGATGATATCTGACTCCCAAATACTGAACTTGAAATACCAAAACACAAATTAGTCCTAGATAATTCAGAAAAGAGGAAGTGTTTCAAGGAAATGAATAGATTGGCCCCAAATGTTGTGACAGAACAAAAATACAGAGATTGGCAAAGTCAAATTTTTGTTTGTAAAGTTGGTAATTCTGGGTCATTATCTTCTTATCAAAATACAATCAGAATTTGGTCTTACCCAAATGTTCTCATGTAAGATATTCCTTCAGAATCAAAATTTTTTCATTTTTTTATGTCTAAAAATTTCTGCTATTTCACTTACAACATATTTTATGAGGTATAAGTGTTTGTAAAACTTTGTTAAAATAGGGTTGAAATTAAGCTTAACAAAATGTGTTTTACTGACAAAATTCGAGTATACAAGTTTTTTTCTTCTCCCCAAAGATGAAATCAAAGCATTCATCCTAATATATGTGCTATGAATGCAAAACACAGTGATATTTTGGAGGTTATATTATAAAAGCAAAAAGAATGTTGTGGAAGATGCGAACTAGATGGGCTATACTAGAGATTGTGTCAAATATTTTGATTGGATATTATTTGCAGTATCTTACCTCTTATCTTATAACACAATACATCTGTGGTTTGAGAAATATTGAATGCCTTCCTTTGCAAAGTACATACACTTTTCTCCATTTCCAATCTGGGAGACTGACAGAATATTCTAACAAGAAATCTTTATTCTTTCTTTCTTATGTAATTTTAGTATATGAGCCTGGTAGTCACAGCATCATTTAACTGTTCTACTCTCAAATTACTTTAAGTTTTAGGATAAAAAGTTTAAATTCCTACAGGCAGTAATACTCTAACAGTTTATTGAACTTTACCAGAGGGGAAACACATTTTCAGGATATGGTTCATTAGGTTTGTGTTCTCAACCATTACATTTAGTCATTTTTTAGAAAC